GTTTACCCTTTATTATATTTATATCCCAAATATCTTTCCTGAAACCTTGAATAGCTCATGTAGGATTCCAAGGCAGTGTTTCATCCAGTCACACTCACAGTTGCCTTGTTTTAGCACAAATTTGCTAAGAGGTCATGCCCTTGGCCAAAATCTTCACTAGCATATCTCCTAGCTCCAATCTTGAATATATTTACTAGAGTTTAAGCTGAATAGACCACCACAGAACTTATTTATGGAGAAATAGGTACTGGACAGTCAAGCTTTTCTAAACAGTCTGAGACAAAAGTATGATAGCTGGGACCCATGCCAAGACAGTGCAGCGAGTGAGAGACGCAGGTGTGACAGAATTGTGGCAAGGTAGCTTCCCAGAAAGGGGGGAGGTGGACAGAAAGGGGGGGCAACAAACAGCTAAGCATAATGCTTAAGGCTATCCAGATATCGTATGCAAACACATTAATATACGTAACGTCTTTGCTTCTCTAATTCTGACCCGCGTCGCACAACCAGCATTGGGTCCCAGCTATCATACTTTTGCCCAGTCTGACAGTCAAGCTCTTTCTACAAAAATGTTTTTCCAACAACCCAGTTCCCCTTTTTTCCCCATCATCTGTCTAACTAAAGGCATTTTAACACTATTATGGATTTTGGAAGGTATTTTATTTTATTCCAGCAATGATACTAGAAAGTTTCTGATCTGTCATATGACATGGAACTAGATTCATTTGGAGCCATCTCAACTGTTTTGAGGATCTTGACTCACATGGCATGAGAAGCAACAGAGGAGGACCCAACTTTGGTGGCCCCCATTGAAGGCGAGGTTAGCAAAGATTGCATCAAGCATGTGAGAGGGCAGCAGATCTACAGGGTTTATAAGGCGTGTCTGCCCCCTTCACTCCCCATTGGAGGGATTTGACAACCAGCTTAAATATGAAGTCACTTGGCAGTTAGTGGGGGAAGAAAATAAGAGTTATGGTGAACACATTGGCATCCTTTTGGTGAAATGGGGGCGGGGGGGGGGGGCTTTGGCAGCGGCTCTGGAATTGTCTCTTTAAGACCTTGAGAAAGGACTATCCTTGGGGCTGGCCTGGATGGCTTTACCATCACTGAAGTCTTGGGAAAGGCCTATCTTAAAATGGCCAGTGGGGAACAACACAATGATTGAGTTGCCAGCAGTGCTCAGGCAGCATGACCAGGAAGGCTGAAGAGGAAGTCAAGAGTGATGCCTGTCTACGCCGATCCCTCACTAGAAAGTTTCCTTCATTTACTCCTTAGCTGGTTCAAGACAGTTTACCAGATTCTAGGTCCATTATTCAACCTAGTTCTCTATGTCTGGTCTTATTACCACATGGCTGGTTGGGCAGCAGTACTCCACAAAGGTTTAGTTCTTTCTTTCTAGTGTACTGAAGGATACTCAGATATTATATGGATGGATACAGATTTTTCCTATGTACAGTTCATATCTGGCAAAGGCCCATATAGATCACAGCAAGGAGAAAGGCCATGAAAACAAAATAAAACAAGAAGAAAGATAGAGATGGATACAGCCACCATCTTAAAACTAAGAAAAATGTCACTGACTCACTTCTATGCCAAAGCAAAAAAAAAAATGTTTCTAACCCATCTGAGACATTGTGGATTCTTCCTTTGTCCAAGGATTCATTTTTAAAGCCAATTTAGATTCTAGAGAAAAACATCCCAAATATGATGAGCTTTACTATTTTGCTGACATGTGCCAGAGGCTACACATTCATGTCTAGAAGGTGCAAATTAGCTATGGAAAAGTAATGTGTTAACATTTGACAGTCTAAATGAAAGTTAAACAAAACACACTGCTTTAAGTCTTGCAATGCAACAAAATCTTTTGGAGAGGAAAAGATTTTGCATCCTAAATTAGAAGCATGTAATCCCACATGTAATAACTCATAGAAAAAAAGAACCAGTAAGATCTATGATTTGATTGGCTGGAAGAAAATGGTTTATATTACTGTAGACTAGTAAAGAAATCTGATTTTATTGGATGGACTGAAACTGAAGACACTACAAACCCAGTTTTGATGGTGATAATGCTGTTACCAGCAGAAAAGGCCCAGACTATATAGGCTAGAGAATAGGCTAGATATCATTCCTATCTAACAAGATGCCTATTATGAATAGAAAGGTGCCTATTACGGGACATGCATACACATATACATAGATACAAGGATGCAGGAATAACCAGACAGAAGATTATTTTCTTCCATGGATGTCTGTGTGGCTCCTCCACAGTTGGTATAAGGGTTAGAACACCCCAGTATTGTGTAAGATGTAGGATGTTTTACTACAATGAAGGTACTACACCTAGACACTGAAAGGTCTGTGTTCGTACCTGAGGGAAATGTATATTTCTATATGTGTTACTGTATATAAAAATACCCAAAAGTATATCAGAGGAGCCTTCCATATTATAGATCCCAAGATTCTAATACTTTAAAATGCTGAAATGGCATCCTGATGATTGTTTGGACTATATTGTTGGTCACAATTTAGGAGCCCAACAACCAGAAGGTAACAAGAGAGACCTCAAAACATATGCAGATTTTATTGCAAATGACAAAGTACTCTCTGTTCCTAAGTCCAAGGGGATAGGTATAAGGGGCCACACAGACATCCATGGAAGAGATCCCATAAGATGGTGAGTGGCAAACTTGTCCTCTATACAAGATATTGATTGTGTGTATGTTTGGGTAGGTTATTTTTTTTTGGTTTTTGCAATTGTTGCTGCCAATCTTTCTTCTTTTTCCCTTTTTGATTTTAAAATAGTATTTTTCCTGCTGCTTGTAATTTTAGTCAGTTATGTTGTCAATAGAGTTTAACTACATAGTTATGCCAATGAGGACAATCCTCACTCTGAATGGAGAAGGGAAGGGGGGAAACATTAGCCTGTGAAAAGGGAACTAGCCTGATGGTATATGTTTTGTCATTGTCGGTTTTCTGTCCAGGACTAGGTTGATGTGTCCCCACATCCAGCTCATGAAAACCTTTTTAGTTGCCCAAAACATCAGAAAGAAGGTAGATATTTTTCAAGGATTCTGAAAATCAATATTGTCCAGCTTGCTGCTTTATTAAACCATCCATACTTCTTACACTGCTTGCCATCAAGAAAAGCCTTATAAGGGTGGAATGTCATTAAGAAGTACAAAAAGCAAGGGCATTATCCCTACAGCTAAGGAATATTATTTCAGTTTCTTAAAGGTCAACCAACCTATTAATGCCTCAATTTGTATTTGGCCTCTAGCCTTCCTTTCCCCCCTGCTCCCACAAATGAACAGCACGGCTTTACAACCATTTGAGATATAATACTTTGTAGAAGTGTTTTGTCAGTATTCAATTGCCTTCTCCATTTTCTTGTCTTTGGACATGGAGTTACAAAGCTATACAGTTCCACTGGGCTGGTTTCATCTTAATACCATCTTGATTGACAGTTGTGCTTTGAGGCAAGGCACTTCTGCTATCTCTTGGCTCATTTAATTAATAACAATTGCTCTATCCACTTAGACCATTTAAAGTCCAAATAACTGCAGATCCTTTGCTTATAATTCCCAAAATGTGAGAGAAAAATAGAAAGTGGCACATGTAGGAATCGCCCAAGATATCACCATGCATACCCTCCAACCAGAATATGTTGGTGTGATAGCTGCTATTTCATGGGGTAATATAAAGGCCATATACCAGTTGTACTGCAAACTGAGTGGGGAGAAAACAGATCTCCCAGTAATTTGTAATAGTTTTCCATGTTTCCCAGTTGTTTAATAATAAAAATATGAACTTTTGCCATAGCATATAGACCTGCTCTGAGTCAAGCCTTAACCATTGTGTTTAGAGGCAATTTCTATACATTTTAACAAATGAACCAGAAACAGATTAGTTGATTTCTAATTCTATGAAATCAATGTAGACTTAATGTAGTCATCAATCAATTAGACATAGTTACAGGCTGAACAGTAGGGTGAGAGAACTACAGGTTGTCAGGAGATTTCAAAGTTTAGTTGGGTTTTATTAAGGGATTTGGAATAAGACAAATATTAGTATTCTGGAAAGGCAATGGGAATATTATTCTTTGCTAATTTTAGTCTTGAATAAAGCAATAAGCAGCGGTAGCAATTTTCTCCTTACTGCAAGAAAGAAACTGCAAAAACCTAAATGATGTCATGGGAAAGCACCAATAGCATCCTTCGCAGTTATGATGCAATATTTTCTTTTTATCCTCTTTACATTTTTTATTTAAGACAATTAAAATTTTATATTTCATTGGTGATATTCAGATTCAAAATACAATTTTCTGGTGCAAAAGACAAAAATGAAACAGAAGGAAAAATAAACACAACACATTATGCTTTTCATTTTGTTAGCTTTATACATTTACTAACGCTCCTATTTCCCAGTCTTCCCATGTTTCATCCCCTTCTCATTGATTTTTTAAAAGCCACAAGTAGCAAATTTATATTTGTCAGATCATTATGTTTGCAGTCTACACCAGTTTGCACTGAAGTATTCTTTTTGTCCTTCCATTAAGCACTAAAGGACTCATCCAGAACAGGGTAGGAAAGCTATGACCTCCTGTGTGCCTAAGACAACAATGTCCATAATAGTCAAAACATTAGGAGGACCAAAGGTTTCCTAATCCTGCTCCAGAGTTTACGTATTATGGATTTCATTTTATCATTCTCCAAGAATCAGATTATACCCAGAGGCCATACATTATGTGTCTTTGTTTTTATAGATCACATGTACAACATGTGTGCAACAGCTCAAGAACATTCTGAAAAATACCGTGTTTTTCAAGCACTAACTGTGACCTGACAAGTTCAGTTTTCTGAAAATGAAATCGATGCCAGATTCTTCATTCCTGTTGATGGTACTATGGAATGATTCTTCGTTGCTCACCAAATTACTTTGTAGAACCTGTTTTAAGGCCTAGCTTGAGAAAGAGGGAAAGAAAAGTTCCTTAGTGAAATATTTACCTGAAGGGTAATGTTCATTCACTGGCCATCCATCCACTTGAAGTGTTGCATTGCCTCCATTCCGAGTAAAACGCACAACATGGTATTTGCCATCATTCACTGGGGTGCTCTCTTCTTTGATAGAGATATCTACTGTGCCAATATTGAAGACTACACCGATCTTGCCTTGTTCCTATGTAGAAAAGAAAGACAGGAAATACCACTGAGATCTGGAAACCAAGTTCTATCACAAATAATAGAAAGATCTGTGTACACTATAGTGAAAGGCACTGTAATGGTCTTCAAATGCTGGATTGGTTGTCATAATAGAAGATAAAATACATTTGCTTTCTATTGCTTAACAAGGCAGGAGGAGAACTCATTGTCTGAAAACGTAAAGAAGCAAAATATATTTTAGCTAAATATAAAGGGAAACTTTCAAGTTGGGAGAATTCTCCCACAATCAAAGTAACTGATGGAGAAATAAATGGGCTCTCCTTCACTTAGGTTTTAAAGCTGAGCACGGTGCAGGATTGCTACTTGTCAGGGATATAACTGTTGTAACATTCTTATACTAAGCACAGGTCCAGCTAAATGAGCACCAAAATTTAAGTTCAAAATTATTACATCTTGATAGATTAAATTATGAAGTATATGTGAAATGTTTGTGTTTAAGGGCCTAAAAATATGCTCCAGATTCAAATGCCATGGATTCTATATCTACACATTCCACATTTCACAGCTTGATTTTTTTAATCCCAAAAGGAAAAAAAAAATGATTTGCCACTTATAAAGGACACCATTTTACTATAGCAGCATTATATATTATGGGATGTGAGAATTCACAGATTTTGGCACCCAAAGGGGTGGGGGTCCCAGGAGATACCAAGAGCCCAATGTATAGTGGGACTGGATTTGTTGTAGGTTTTTTCGGGCTATATGGCCATGGTCTAGAGGCATTCTCTCCTGACGTTTTGCCTGCATCTATGGCAAGCATCCTCAGAGGTAGTGAGGTCTGTTGGAACTAGGAAAAAGGCTTTTTCCTTTCCCCCCTTTTTTCTAGTTCCAACAGACCTCACTATCTCTGACGATGCTTGCCATAGATGCAGGCACAACGTCAAGAGAGAATGCCTCTAGACCATGGCCATATAGCCCGAAAAAACCTACAACAACCCAGTGATTCCGGCCATGAAAGCCTTCGACAATATAGCAGGATTATTTATTGGATGGCATTAGATCAACCACTGTGTCATTCACAGTGAGGAAAGATGGATCAGGAAATGCTGGTAGAAGGTTCAGGTGTACTGCTGGAACCCAGCAGTAAACAGCAGCGCCTTCAGCCATACCCTGAGGTAACATCTATGGAAGGAACAACTACTGAGCCTGCAGACAAAACACAAGAGACTTCTTCTGAGGAGGAGTCCTGTTCTTGCTTTTGTGGGTTTAAGAAAAGGTAGGTCTCGGCTGTGAAGGTCATTGAGGCTTGCTGAGAAGATAGCTAGGAACAGGTAACACCTGTGAATTTAAGATTTAAGGAACTGAAGATTGTTACCTGTTTGCTGGCTACAACAATGGTGCTTGAGCCAAGACCTTGGACTCTTGAGCTCCCTGAAACCTGGACTACCCTTGGACATTTACTTTGGACTTTGACTCAACTCCCTATCATGGACATTTCTGGTAATTGGCTCTTGACCCTGGGGCAGACATTTGGATTTGCTTCTTGTACATTCTCGTGATTGTTTGATATCTCTGTGGACTTATTAGCTCAGTCTGGGACTGTTTATGTATGCTCTGCTTGTATTTGGAGATGTAGGCCTTGACACACTGTTAATATGTGCTGTGAGAATAGTGTGCATTTGTAAAGGTGTAAGGTCTCCAGTTGAGACTGATTTGCAATTATTTCATACTTTCCCTTTTTACTACATTGACAAGAGATGGGAAATTGCCTGATTGACTGTTTCTCCACCCTGGAGGTTTCACAAAGGAAACATGCATTGCAAGAGGGGAAGTTTTGCTCCAGTTCTCACTTTGGTGTGCTGTTGTTTCTTTTTTGGTTTTGTTTTTTTGTAGGATTAGAATGGTAGTGTACTACTTAAGGTTCATTTTGTGACCTTCCATCTTTAACCCGGAGTGATATAGTCAAGACATAAATTTACAAATACACTGAGAAGTAAACCCAAGTAATTATAAACATTTATGTCATACCCACAATTACTATAAAGTACCATGAAGATATAATCATAGAATCCTAGAGTTGGAAGAGACCTCATGGGCCATCCAGTCCAACCCCCTGCCAAGAAGCAAGAATATTGCATTCAAAGCACCCCTGACAGATGGTCAGATATGTGATAGGGTTTTTATGCACAATATTATTTCAGCCTCATACACCAACACATCAATGTCATTGATTTATCACATATTATTTAATCACATTTGCATTACATCTTCTTTCCCAAGACACATAGAATAGTATATATAACCCTCTCCCCCCATATTGTCAACACAAAAACCTACGTTTTTGGTTTAGGATAGGTGTGAGAACTTAAAATTTGATCATTCATAAGAAGGTTTGCATGCAGAATGGATATGGTTGCTGACTTCTCTGAATGGATACCAGCACCACTCCAGATGCCCAATAGGAACCTTCATAAAACTGTGAGGTCCGGCTACAGAAGTCACAGGACCTCACAGAAGAAGTAGGATTGGGTGCGTATTATCTATTTTACTTTTATGACTCATATAAACATTCAGTAGCAAAGTTCCTATACTACAGTTCTTGTAAGCAACTATAAATCAGGAGGCCTCAGGTTCAATGCTTGACTTTCCCAGCTGATAAAGATCAGACAGAGGGTAATGAGAAAGACCTCCTGAGACCCTGAAGAAACAGAGCCAGATAAGACAGAAAATAGTGGATGGAATGGATCGATGCATAACAGCTTCTTAGGGGTAGGCGGATGCTCTGGAGCAGATTCTGGAGGCCACAATTTTAGAGACGAAATGGCAGAAGATAACTCATGTGGATTCATAAAATCATTGAGTTGGAAGTATTATATGCTTCGTCCAGTCCTTTGGTCCTCCAGTTGTTTTGGACTTCAGCTCCCACAATTCCTAACAGCTGGAAAGTTAACTGGGATATCTGGGAGTTGAAGTCCAAAACACCCAGAAGACCGAAGGTTGGGCACCACTGATCCAGTCCAACCACCTGCTGAATATAGAATCTCCAGCTAAAGCATCCTCAGCTGGTAGTTATATTTTTTATGGTCCAGTGAAGGAGACCGCACTATCTCTTTGGGCAAATGGTTTCATTGCTGAACCACTCTCACTGTCAAGAAGTTCCTTCTCATGCTCACTTGAAATCTACTCTCCTGTAACTTCAAACCATTAAACCTGGTCCTAACCTCTGGAGCACAGAGAACAGGCCTGTCCCCTTCTCTCTGTAAAAATCATTGAGGTATTTCAAGAGTTCAATAAAGTCACTCCTCAGTCTTCTCTTCACCATGCTGAAAATAACTCCAACATCCATCATTACTAAGTGGTTATGTTTCCTAAAAGTACATAGCAATATATTTTGTGATCATTGTATGGCATACATATTACAGTTCTACAAGACTTTGGGCTCACGATTCCCACATTCCTGGCACAAATGATACATTGGTGAGGTGTAATCTTTTACTGGAAAGAATTTAAAGCTAATATCTACATTTCTAACAGTTAAAAGATGTACTTTAAACCATCATATTCACTACAGGCAACTCTACTGCAGTCACACTGCCCCAAAAGAAAGCTTTAATCCTGATCACATCCTACACTTTGCTAGTCTGCTTTCATTACATGTGACTGGTAACTAGATGCTGTATCAATCACCTGCAGTTCCAAGACTGCAGTTCCAAGACTGAAAGGTGCCATTCCTATCAGTAGTATAGGACTACAACAGATAATACTTTTCTAATCCTAGCTCAACTAGGCATTTGCTGGTGAACGTAAGTCATTGAAGCTCTCCTTTTTATTAAAAAGCAGACTCAGCATACATCCTTTCTAATTGTTATTATGGGCACACTGAGATTTACTGCCCAAAAGTATCTTCCTAGGGAATTACTTATTACGTTTTATGGGCTAGTTCATATATTAAGGTTGCAGTAGATCTTAACTTCCTCTAAAAGCTGAGGGTGAACTAATACCCAGAAGAACCTTCACTGCTAGCTTTGATGCCTTTGAAGAACTGTTACTTTGTGTGATTATCTGTCTCCAAGGGTCTTCTGGTACAGTTGTTGAAATTTTTCAGTATGGACCCTTTTTCAATCCTATTTAATCTTTTATCCCAGACACTACTCTAACTCACCTACTTGTTCTTTTTAATTTAATGACAGCAAGTGTTCATTCTGGGTTGCTGTGAGCTTTTTGGGCAGAATGGCTATGTTCCAGCAGCATTCTCTCCTGATGCTTTGCCTGCTTCTGTGGCTGGCATCTTCAGAGGCTCTGTTGGCAATGAAGCAAGTGGATTTTGTGTGTGTGTGTGTGTGTGTCTGTGTCTGTGGAATGTCCAGGGTGGGAGAAAGAACTTTTGTCTGTTAAAACAAGTGTGAAAAAGAACTCTTGTCTGTTAATGCAAGTGTGAATGTTGCAATTAGCAAGCTTGAATACCATTGTATAGCCATGAAGTTGTGAAGTCAATCAGTGAGGGTATCCTGCCTTTGTTGCCTGGAGACATCCTCTGTTTGGAAGATGTTGTCTCCAGGCAACAAAGCCCGGACTTCCTCTATGCAGATACCCTCACTGTTTGACTTTGCAGCTTCATGGCTACTCAATACTATTCAAGCTTGCTAATCGCAACATTCTCACCCTGGACATTTCACAGATATATATACACTTCACTTGCTTGACTGCCAACAGAGCCACTGTAGATGCAAGCCACAGATGCAGGTGGAATGTCAGGAGAGAATGCTACTGGAACACAGTCATACAGCTTGAAAAACTCATAGCAACCCAGTGATTCTGGCCATGAAAGCCTCCGAGAACACAGTGTTCATTCTCTTTGTTTTGATGCTTTTGGAAGTCTCTTCTGATATCTGGGTGAAGATCTGTGTCTTATTCTATTTTGAGATGACAAAGACAAATGACAAAGAGTAGGAATGTAGAGAATAAAATGTTCTCATCATCCACAAGAAAGAAAGAAAAAACATGGTCAACCATTCT